GGCTTTAGGGCTTAGAGTTCGGGGTCTAGGGCTTACCTGAACCCTTAGAGGAACAGCCTTTCGGAAACATAGGATACGCTCATGTTTTGAATTTTCTGCAGACGTCCAGGTAGATACGTTTTGTAATGTGCCGGCCTGACTTATGGGCTTTTGAAATTAGGTTTTAGTGTGCTTGTTTCTGGGGGTATGCTTTTGGGGAGAAACGAAACCTTACATTTTTCGAGAGTTAATGTCTAGGGTATGAGGATTAGTCCTCAAGAGGGATTAGCGCTTCGCGTTCGTGTGTTAGGGTCCAGGGTCAAGTGTCTGGGTGTGAGGAGTTGGGGGTCACATGCTTTTGGGTTCCCGTCTGTGGTTGCAAAAGGCGGTGGACGGATTTATAGTCGCCCTCAAGTAGATAGAATATGGCTTTGGGCATATTGTTATAATAGGATCCCCATATAATTACCCCATATTCTATCTACTGAAGGGGGACTGTAGGTGGACAGTCGCTTAAAAGCGCGAAAAGACACAAGCAACACCAGTCGTCGAAAAACTTTCAAGTATGGTGGCATTAAAAGCCGCAAGTCAATCCATGGCTGTTGGTCAGCTTGGAGGAGGAGGTCCAGGATCTAAAGTTCAAGGCATGAAACAGCCTGGGAAGAAATGAGCTATCGTCTAAACTCCTTAAACCCTACAATACTCCCCTATTCCCGTATATAACCCCTTTAAGCCTTAAAGGAGGTTATATAGGGGATGTACATATAGGAGCGTATCATAGGGGTTACGAAGGAGGATGCTAGGAGTTTAGATTATGGTTCAAGATGAGGGAGACCCCGGCTTTTAGAACCACCCAACTTTAGGGTTTTGGGTTTAGGTTTTAGGGTTTTAGGGTTAAGGTTTAGGGTTTGGGGTTTAGGGTTTGGGGTTAGGGTTTAGGGTTTCGGGTTTAGGGTTTACGTAGGGTTTCGTTAGGTTGGGGATCTAGGGCAGCAGTTTGGAGTGCTAAGGCTTAGCATCAAAGGGAGGTACTCAAATGGAATTAGGTTAAGCGCTGTAGGGTTTTGGGGCTGTGGGTTGTTGGGGAGCGTGTTATGAAGACTGAAGTTGAACAATCCCTAAATGGTACCAGAGAGGGTCAGGGGTGTTGAGTAGGCCCCTTTTCCCATTTGGGGTCCTAAGTTCTTTATAAACTGGACAGGTAGGTTTAGGTGGACCCCCCCTCCCGACCCTGCAATTATGATATTAGAGGAATATAAGGGGACCCTAATATGATTACCATTGTCCCTTATGGTCACGAGTAGAGGGGAGGGGGGTCCACCCAAAAGAGAAGCTATGTTCAACATGGGAGACCATTTAGTCCTATAGTCCACCTTATGTAGATTATGGCTTCGGGTATATCATAGTAAGATGCCCATATACCCCATATTCTATCTACTCTATCTACTGAAGGGACTTAACCATAAACCCTATATACCCCATATTCTATCTGCTTAAGGGGGATTAAACCTAAACCCCTAAACCTAAACCCTGAGCCCGATATACCCCATATTCTATCTACGTAAGGGGGGATCCAGGAGCATGGTACTTGAGCAAACCTGTCCGGCTTACATCAGGTCCCTGTCGAATCGCCAGCACAGATGACAGGGTTTAGGGTTTAGGGTTCAAGGTTTCATGACATTTGTTTCATGACAGCGGCCAAACAGCAGAAAACATTGCAATAGCTCAGCAGAACCCTTCGAGGTTTGCTACATCCTAGGAGAAGCAAGGAGTTTCTCAGCAGATTTCCCTATCTCATTCTTAAGGGAGTCAGCCAGAACCTGTTGAGAATACACAAGAATTTAAACTCGCACCCGTATACTGTCACCCCAAAATTGAGAAATTTCAATGCAGCATCCCAACCTTAGATCAAGTTCCCAACCTGCGCAGGCGATTCCTCAGGAATCATGTCCATGATCTCCAGTTCGGTGACCCTCGCCGCCGCCACGGTGCAAGCGTTTGCCATGTTCTTTTTCAGCTACCGGATCATGAAGGTCCTTTCGGAGGGTCCTTCATGGTAGGCATGCTTCAAGCTATTACCCTAAAGCCCTTAACCGCAAACTTTGGAAGAGCACTGAACTTGAATTTTTTCAGTTCACACCCAATGGCCCTGCTGAAAGCTGAGAGCTGAACTTCCTCAACGCAACAGTTGGTAAGAAGTATCCTAACCCCGCATTAACCCTAAAACCCAAACCGGGTTGAGGGTTTGTGGCAATGGCAAGAGCCTCAGTCTGACAGGTCGTGGAGGAAGATGGCGAGAAGCTTGCTCAGCCGCGCCCAGAGCACGAAGCAGTTGCGCAGCTTACGCGAAATGAAGCGGCCTATGTTGCAGCTCTTAAGGACATGCCTGAAGGTTTAGGTCTAGGGCTTAGGGACCTAGGGATTTGGATTTCAGGGTTGTCAGATGTCAGAGCTAGGCAGTTAGGATTTAGGACTTGGGGTGTTAGGGTTTCTAGTGTCCAAAGGACGAGGCCACCTGGGATGGTGGCTCTTGGCCTTGGTGTTGTCAAGGGATGACATTAGGTTTAGGGTTTGGGGTTTAGGGTTTGGGGTTTAGGGGTTCGTCTACCGCCATAGTGGCTCTCTACTGCACACTTGTCATGACAAGTGCTTATGGCAAAACACACACGACTGGTAAGGATACCCAAAAAATTCCCAGCGTGGTCCTCATGTAGAGGGATGGGTCCCAGAGCAGACCTCCACAAAGCCCTACACCCCAAGATGGGTTTAGGTTTAGGGTGTTGGGTTCCCAGAGTTGGGGGCGCCGTTTTATGGGCACCTCTAACTGTAATGAGGACCATAGCATATTGCGGTCCATATTCGGGTCCCTAAACCTTAAGCCTGAAGCCGTAAACTTAGGGAAATGTCCCATGAACCCTAGGCTACGGGGATCATCCTTCAAGGCTCAGGGAATGGACTATAGCAAGTAGCTCTGCTGAGCATATATAGGGCTTAGGGGTTAGGAATGCGCTATGTATATAGGCTGTGGCACTTAGAGGATGCTTTACCATAGGTGGCCAAGCAACTGAGAAGTGTTCTTGATTTGGGATGAACCCTAAACCCTGAAGCCTAAACCCTAAATTCAATGTAAGGAAACCTCAGACACTTGAGCCCGGAAAGATACCCCTAACCCCGTGACTCAGAATCGTTTCCAGGAGACCTGCGAATGGAGCAACATGGCCTGCTTCTGGGTTTCTGTTAAGGATCTGAAGTGGCAGGGATTCCTAAAAGATTATGGAAACTGGGTTTCAACTTCCTGCAAGCGTGAAATACCACCTCACATACCCCAAGTTTCTACATCATTTTACACTTTCGTTTCCATTTGCTTCTCCGTTAGGGTGACTTATCTCAAATTTACCCTCAACCCAACCTTAAACCCTAAACCCACACCTTAAAAGCCTAAACCCTTAACAGCAGTTCAGGCTTGCAGAAGTTGTTGGTGTTGTTCTCCTCCTTCTGCCTGCTCTTGTCCGGCTTCATCCTGGCGGCAGATTATTCCTTGGGGGATCAGTTCTGCTTCAGAAGCTTCTCCATAACCAGCAAGATCGGCGACCCCCTGGACCTAGGTGGGGCATCAAAAGCTAGCAGTTCGAGGGGTGTTGGGTAAGCACCCTTTTTTTCCGTTTCGGGTGTCCTAACTTCTTCATAGAGATAAGCTATTTTCCGCAAGGTGGACCTTTTTTGTCCTATGATGTCCTATGTTACCAGGGACCCTGGTTCCCTCAATACTGTTTGTTCGGAAAGGTTACAAGGCGGTTTAGGGTTTTGATTGCCTCCCCCGGCCTTGCATACCTCCAAGATCCTTCTGAAACATCTCACTTGGTCATGGCATTAGGATCTGGGAAGTTTAGGATTTAGGGTCCATGTTCCTAAATCGTAAGGGACCCATTTAGGTACATGCACCTTAAAACCCTAAACCCTAAGCCCTCCAGGCCCTAAACCTGAAACCCTAAACCCTAAACCCCAAAACCCTAAACCCTAAGCCTTAAGCCCTAACCCTAAACCTTCAATCCTAAACCCTAAGCCCCCCAGGCGGCCTCGGGGGCAGTGCCCTGAACTTGGTGGTGGTTCCCGCTGGATGGGGCACTTTGGGCCTCTCATTCCTAGGCTTTTTCGTGCACATCTTTGCCACTGGCCTGAGATTTTGCTTACTAATGGTTACTAGGGCGTAAAGACTCCTACCCTCTATTAGGGCCTAAGTACCTACTATTAGGGACCATATATCCCTAATTATGGGTACAAGGAGGGTCCTGGGAGATAAGTTTGATCCCTATATGGTCCCTATAAAATGTATTCCCTTATTCCCTACTGGCCCCCATTAAGTTTAGGTTTTGGGCAGGTGAAGCCTAAGCCGTAAACCCTATGGGTATGTGGCAGGCTTGGGGCCCCTACGTGCACAATCCTTCTGTACAGGAGCTGGTATACCTGGACCCCCCCAAAGTATGTAGAAGAATGTACTTTCAGGCTTTCGTTCGGGCTGACCATTATTTAACTTGCTTTTTGGGTCCAGGTATCTAAGCAAGACCCCGCGGGCCAAGGTTGTATGTATGTTTTGGGATTTCTTCTGTTGAAGCGATGTAATGGATCATATCAGAAATTTAGGGTTGTCACACTCTGAGGGTCCAAGAACTTCATAGGTCTATACCGAACTGCGCCAAGACCTGGACTACAATCCCAAGTTAAAACCCATCTAAACCCTAAACCCGAAAGAGTAGTTTCCATTTTGTTTTCCATTTTCCCACTGTAACTCTAATATAACCCTAATAATTATACCCTTTTCCTCTCCGTTCTATGGACTTTTGCCTTTAGAGGAACTTGAAGGCTACTTGAAAGTTCCATGGTTGGGTCTGTTTTGGGCTTAGAAAAGCCACTGTAACCCGAAAGCTGGCGGTCAACACGCAACCTCCGGCAGGAAGCGACTACCGTCCCGCGCGAACTCGAACGCCGTACATTTGTTTAGTTAAAAAGAAGTAGCAGTAATAGTACTAATAGTAGTAATAAGTATCTGTGTCCTCTGGGCCTTTGGGATCCTACCAGGTTTCGTTGAAGGTGTAGGCAGACTTTGAACTTCCATGAAGTCGTTGCCTTCTTCTTGGTACCTCAAGTGGCCCTTTCAGCATACACCTGCAGCGGGTTCCTTTTTCATCATATTTCTTCAGGTCCCGCTGTTCCACTCTTCAGCCACAACCCTTGACCTTGAACCCTAGCAGCAACAATCAGGATGCTGGGCTCTAAACCGCGAACCGAACTCAACAAACTTCCCTCTGCTTAGCAACGAAGGAATGGAAAAGAACATGGAAAGCATTATATCATTGGAGACTACACCGGGGCTAGTCTAAGGATCTCCTTGCTAAGAAGAGGTAAGAATATCAGTTAAACTATACATTCTAAACCCTAAGCCCTGGACCGCCTAAACCGTAAACAAGTCTCCTGGGGCCCCAGAAGTCCAAGCCTCATACCACGTTCAGATTCTGACGTCCTCTTGGCACTCTGTACAAAAGGAGAGGCCTCAAAGCTACACTTTAAACCCTGAACCGCGAATCCTAAACCATAAGCTCAAAGGGGTTGGAGTGCCTTACATGGTCTTTTAACCCTAAAGCCTACCTGCACCCCAAACATATGTAAAACAATAGCCCTAAACCCATAATTCCAGCCATAAAGGCAATTATTCTACATACTTTTGGGATCCAGGTAATCCCTAAACCTGAAAGCTGATGTTTTTGGTGGTCTTTCTTTGGGGTTTCATATCCAGTTTGAGTCTTGTGTGTCTGCATAGCCTTGGGGATCCCAATGGCCCAATTAGGGTTTAGGGTTTAGGGCTTAGACTTTAGGGTTTAGGGTTTAGGGTTTAGGGTTTAGAGACTTTAGGGCTAGAAGTACCTACTCTGTTTAGATTTAGAGCCGCAGGATAGGACGACCGTGATGTTGCATCAAACGTATCATGCCACGACTCCCCGAAAAACGGCCAAAGGTTCAGAAAACAACCAGGACCTCCCCAAGATCCATGATCCCGACCCTGATGTGGATGGATCCCCTGTAACTCTCTGGCCCGCATCATAAACCAAGCCTGGGGCCTTAAATGTTGAAAATTCTCCCTTGGAAAACACCAGGTGAGCAAGTGGCTGGCATGCGTAGCAAAAAGTCGGCTGCGCAAACAGCCTCCGCAACCGGAAAGCACGATCATTGGCAAAGTGAACTACGACGACCCTAGGCTTCTTCTTCTGGACGCGGTTTAGGGTTTAGGGGTGCAATCTTTGGCCTCAGGGATACACAGACATCATAGGTTCTCATAGGGATCACTCCTAGGATGGTGCAGGGTTTCTTTGAGTCTTACGTGGGGGTTTCCCAAAATTATGGGTACCTTTTGGGGGGTCCCAATAACAAGGATTATAGTATATTGGGGTCTATATTGGGGTACCCCTATTTAGGGAAACTACCATGTAGGGTTTAGGGCTTAGGGTTTAGACTCCCTTTGCCTGTTGCCCTTCCTTGTCCAAGCACACGGCTTCCTGCGGTGCAGCCGCAGAGGTCCATGCAGCCATGTAAGGTATGAGCGTTGATCTGAAGGTCCTTTAGGAAATTGGTCAGGGAATTTGTATGAGTCTAGGGTACGGAAAAAATGTAAGCCAACGTGTTTTCCATAATGGCTATTTTTGGAACAGATATTGTAGGCAACTACCTTATACAATACATTGCACCCCAAGTAATTTGGAAACCTGAGTTTACCCTAAACCCTAGGCCTTAGCCCCAAAACCCTAATTTATGCAGACTACATACCTACATGGACCATGGACCCTCTTTGTTGACCGTCCCTGCCCCAGCCCTGGGCCAGAAATTCGGATGCCCACATCCTGCAGCCTACGATGGGAGCCAGAGAGTTGGTGTTGTGGGATTTTCCGGATCCCTATCCATTGGGTACTGCCCCCACCCAGAAACAGTTTATATTAGGAGTCCTATTAAGGGCTATATATAAGCATATTATGCTTATTCTCCAACTGTTACTGAGGGGGGGCAGTACCCAACCTATCCATAAGTTAGATGTGTAGTATTTTCCTACCCGGAGCCATAAGACGAAGGAACAGTAGCATGAGTCATTCCGTGTGAAATTTGTGGGTCTTCATTGTAAATCTTGGGTCATTTGCTCCTTTACAGTGCCTGTCGTTAAAGGTCCTTATTAAGGGGCTATTTCCTATTACCTGTTGCGGCGACTGTTACTGACTTCATGTAATGCTTGTTACATAAGCCTCAAACCCTGAACCCTGCCCGAAAGCCTTTGGTTTGCAGCCCTGCCCTTGTCATCTGAGGCGTTCAAAGGCCAGGAAGAA